TTACAGGGTGTTCTTGGTATGTTCAATACTACAACAGTGACAAGTCATGCTCTAGATTTCAATAATATCATTCCACCCCAGAACTTCAGAGAATGGAAGAATATAGTCTAGCAGTAAACAAAAGCATCAGCCTTTTATAATTTTAACTTAATCTCTTAAACTTCTTAAAATGTGCTATTAAAGTTCTTGTATTTAAAATGTCTGAAGAGTTAGTTCTTAAAAGCATTGTTTTTTAAAGACACAGTAGTAACGGCTATAGCACTTTAAAAATAGTGCAATTTCAGATTCTTAGATTTACAGATTTTTAAATAAAATACCAACGTTCAAATATTAATTTTGGAATAATATCTATCAAAGAAAAGAACTGAGTTCAGCCCATGGTTGCTGACTAAGGCCTGTTATAAGCCTCATAGTCCTAAACCGTTCTTTCTCATGGGACCATTCTGTAATCTCTTTTGTCATATTCCTTGAAAATCATTGGCAAGGTAAGGGAAAGGTAGTAGACTGTGTACATTTTTAAAAAGGCTTTTCCTTACTTTTATGGTCACATCATTTCCATTTTTCTGTTACGGACCCTTAAGTAAGAATGGTGAAAGCAGGGCCGGCCCCGTGACTCACTCAGGATAGTGTGGCACTGGTAGCACCGAGACCGCAGGTTCGGATCCTATACGGCGATGGCTGGTGTGCTCACTGGCTGAGCATGGTGCAGACAGCCACCGAGCCAAGGGTTACCATCCCCTTATCAGTAAAAAAAAAAAAAAAAAAAAAGAATGGTAAAAGCAAAAGAACATCAGGTCAAACAACTCTTGCTACTAATGTAAACTCATGCTTAGAAAAACATTCTCAATAGGCAGTGAAGGGTGGCATGGTTAGCTTAGTCGGGTAGAGCACAGCCTTATAACACCAAGGTCAAGGGTTTGGATCCCTGTACCGGCCAGCTGCAATAAAACCCCAAAAACCAAAATAGGCAACAAGAGAAGCAAGCATGTGAATGCTGTGTAAGTGGGACCACTGAGTTCTTTGAAATAAAAGGAAGAAATCACTTGTGGAATTCACAGGTGACTTTTAGGTTGAATCCTTAGCAGTAAGCAACAGGGAGTGTGCTGCCAAGTCACCATCTTTAGTTCTGAAGAGTTTCAGTTTACATGTTCCCCAGATGTCACAAATATCATGATAATCAAGTGAAACAGATACTTGGGAAATATTAATAAAACAAACTTTTATTTACTATTACTACAGAGAACTTCAGCAAGAGGGGAAATAAAGTTTAGTGATCTTTTAGTAAACATTTTTAGCATAACAGTCTTATAAACACCATTGCTATGTATTTATCTGGTGCATACTAAAAACAGGATAATGGAAATACATGTTCTTAAAGCATTTCCACAGGAAATGTTTATATTTTTCATGACATTCTAAATCATTTAGCAACTGTCAGAGGTTATAGTTACGGGCTCTGCTTTAATGCCCGTGAACAGTCCTGGCTACTGCTCTGAGAGGCACGTAAAGGCTCCTCTCTCAAGCCCGAAGGCAATAAGTCTCTTGCAGCAGGTGGTGGTGGGTAATCCTGGGGGCCATGGGTTGGGGGTGGTAATCGGCTACCAGGAGTAAAGTACTCTCTCGGGCCAAGAGAGCCAAAAGGTCTAAATGGTGTGTGTCCTGGTACAAATCCCCGAGGGTCAAAAGGCAGGTCCCATCTTCCAGGTGGAACGCCTGGTGCATATTCTCTTAAGTCTAGTGGTGGACGCATACCAGGACCTGGAAAACAAATATTCAGTCATGTAAAAATACCTAGGAACATATCTAAATTAAGATGATTCCAGGTACATTAATATATTCTCTAATTTCTCACAACCCTAGAATGTCAAGTGGTGGCATCCCGGTTTTATACATGAGGCAAACTGAGACTCAGCATTTTTAAGTTACATGCCTTTGGCCAGCCAGCCACGAAGGAGCATAGGCAGGATTTAAACATGGCTCTACCTAGCTCCACACCTGCATTCTTTCCACTATACAATCTTGCCATCTTTTTCTCATAAGAGCTCAATTTGTAC